CTCTCCAAGCTCCATGGCAACTGACTGTCGCAGTGACGTCGAGGCGTGACTAAGCAGCTCTGCCCTCCACAGTCTTATCAATACCTACTCAAATGTTGACACCCACAGCCAGACCCAGCGCACTGAGCGAGCGTACAAGTGTTCCAGTGCGCTGTCGAACATCGCAGGTCCAACCAACCAAGAATGGCAGACCAAATAACCGAAGCCTCCCTCAAGGAGGCCCTGACCAGTCGCCTCACGGCAGTCCACGTCGAGGTCACGGACATGTCCGGTACGACCCTCTTCCACCGCTCAACCCCCTCGAGACGTACCCCGCGCCCCTGCCCCGCCATCGCCGCTACGTCGAGGAACAGCGCCCGCCATTGTCGCTCGAGCACGTACTGACAGAGACACAGGCGGCTGCGGCCAATCCTTCACATCCCTCATCATATCTCCTCAGTTCGAAAAGCAGTCCTCCCTCAAGCGTCACCGACTTGTCAACGCCGCACTCAAGGAGGAGATCGCCCGCATCCACGCCTGGAGCGCCAAGTGCCAAACCCCCGCCGAGTGGGAGCGCGATCGCGCCGCTTCGGGCGTGAGCGATGGGCCGCCCCTCGACGGTACGGTCGGCGGCAAGGTGGACGGCGTGAGTGGATAGTGGGTGACCCTAACAAGAAGACGGGAGACCGAATTTCTGGGCAGGAAGTACATTTCGCAAGGACGACATGGCGTTACGGAAACGCAGGGCAGCGCGAGAGAAGGCGGACCGGGACTATGATTCACCAGGATAGAGTGGTACAATATCCTTGAAATTTGAGCAAAGCATCACCTTGGGTTTTCACCAGACAGACACTGATATCTCTCTCTTGGAAGGAGGTAGTCGTGCTTCAACCCGACTATATATTTGACCATCCAGCGCTGCACGTACAAAATGCCGAGACGCCTCCATTGAGCATAAAGCGCTCCCCTTTTCCGCGCATTGCAGCCTCCCCACCCGTCTAAAACAAGCCCAGGAGGTCCTCGTTCGTCTTCTTCTCCCCGCTGCCACTCTGTTGTTGCGGGTGCAATTGCATCGCCGCAGGCGGAGGCTCGGATGACGATGACGCGCCTCCGAAATTCAGATCCGCGAATCCGTTCATCATATCGTTCATACCGCTGCCCCCCGCGTTGCCGCCGACGTTCTGCTGCTGTTGAGGCGGCGGAGCGTCAAAAAGACCCATCATATCGGCTATGTTGCCAGATGGAGCACCGCCTGCGGGGCTGGCCATCCTGTCGGGTGTGTTGACGTTGC